AGACCGTGCAAAAGGATGGGCAGATGTAGATGGCGCCTGCGCAGCACTGATGCTCCGATTTCCATCACAAATCACATCGCCCGGCCTTTCAAGTTGCCCGTGGCGGCAAAAAGCCGTAGCAATCCTGCGTAGCAGTGATGCCGTCCCGTGGAAGTCAAATGGCCGATCACGAAGCCGAGGGCCGGGCTCGCTGGTGTCCTGACGCAGGACTTCCGAGGGGCATTCGACTCGTTGCCACGCTCTGCCAAAATCGGAAGGGAAGGAGCCAACAGAAAAAGCAGTCTGGTGCTCCGTGCTGCTTTTGATTGGAGGTAGATGTCGATATGCCTTGGAGCGATGCTCTTGAGATCGGGGTTCATCTGGATGGCCTCGTGACTTGCGGAGCACGTCGGGGAGCAAAGGGAAGAATGCGGAGGCCGGGTCTTTCTTCAGGTCGTCCACATTACAGAGTCTCAGTCCCGGGTGGTCCTGACATGCGATCAGTCGCCAACTCCACTTGACGTGGTGCGGCGACGATGGCCTGAGGGGACACCTGAAACGCCGCAGCGAGCTCATCCTCGCCCTCAGAGTCCTCTTGACCAAAACCTACCTTTATCAGATAGCGTCTGGTCAAGAGGACTTTGAGGGCGAGGATGAGCACGGACATGCTGCTCAAACACGGCCCACAATCGGAATCCTCCTTCGACCTCAACTTGTCTGTGACCTTCCCGTCCTGCGAGTCGAGAGGGTCAAAACTGCAGGCATGAACTGACAGCAAACTTGCAGAAACACTCCAGCAAGGCATAGCCGAAGCTCCCAGCCCCGAAACGCCTCCTGAAGCCCTGCCCGCGATCGGATGTGTGCCTCCGCCGCATACTCTGCTCTGGTGACGCTCAGAAACAGTCCAGTTCATGGAAAGTCCTACACCACGCAACTAACACCAAGGCTAGCTATTGCGAGCAGTAGAACAAAGCGGAAGTACGGAAGCATGCAACTGAAGAAGAACATGACAAGACTCGCACTGCTCTCTTTTTGTTTCGGCTTGCCGGAAAGTGACTGCTGTCTGTCTGCGGCTGCAGGCCTTCGGCCGGAAGCGGAGCCGTTCAGAAGCAAGCTGCTGC